GTTTTTAACTGTTTTCCAATGTTTGAACTATTTTTGCATAGACTAAAGTACAAAACAGTGAAAATCGTTAACAGGCAATCGTTCGATGGGCTGAATTGTACAAAACGCGTGATCGCTCCGGCTAGTCTGGTGCGCGTTGCCATTTGTTTGTCTTGTTTGCTAAAAAAATTTTGTTCCGCTGTTTTTGTGCTTCCCTGTACATACGTAAATCTGCGCTTTCAGCAGTGGTACATGGATATCTTATATGCACGTTTTCGTTTTTAATACCAAAAATTATTAATTCGCACAACAACTTCTTTTTTCGAAGCGTCACCTTGACTTGGCAGGAGAATGGAAGGGAAAGGGTGGGGGAGGGGGGAGGGAGGGGACGGAGGTATGTAGCAATTACAAAAGCATTAAAACTGGGGCAAGCTGAAAAACATTCGCATCAGTTCTAATGTAACAGGAGCACATTTGTGCGTAGGAAAATATGTAGAAATTTATGTGTGTGTATGTGCAGAAATTTATGTGTGTATGTGTTCTGTCTGTGTTTGCCATTATGAATACAGAAAACGTGTCGAAAATGATGAATTTAAAAAAAAAACCGGCAATGCTTACCTTCATTCCGGTGTGTAGGAGATTGATTTTTTCTTTCCGCATATCCCGCTTTGGGAATGCTTTACAATGTTTTAACAACAGCTTAAATATTTTTCGATTTTTTAGTGCACTGCATCGTCAAGCCCGCAGTGCTTGCATTAGGTAGACAAGGAGCAAAAGTCAGCTTTTGAGCAACTGGTGCTTTGAGTAGCCTTTCTTTTTCTGACGATGATAAACTTGATTTATGTGTTTTTGTTGTGATGGCAAGCCATCTGCAGGTATCAAAAAATAGCCGAAAAAAACGCACGCAGCTGAGTACCAGGCATGTATGGTGCTATGCTGAATTAAAATTTTTGTGCCTCTTAATTGCTTCAGTGTTGTTTTAGGTATCTATGGATTTGGGAATAGTGCACGAGAAAAACCATTCCGAAAAATTACTTATGGTTTGAAGTTATTTGAGGAAAAACTGGAATTTCTTAATCACAAAGATGCTAATGAACAGTTGTTATGTGCGCAGTTCCTGCAGATTTTAACCGACACCACCAGGTTTCTTTTCACAGCTGTTTTTGCTTGCCAATCGCTTCTTGATTCTTTCTCTCATAAGAATTCTCCTAAGAAAACAAGCGTTTAAATTCCTTTTAATTCTTTCTTTCACGTGCATTAATAAGCAAATCAATTTTCGATAAATACGATAGCACTGGTGTTTGTTTCGATTGATAACATATTGCTGCAGAATGAAGCTACCCATTACCGAGAGTGTCCTGCAACCTGAGAAAGAGGCCCAACATAGCTATTTTTTTCACATGAGCAGTTTCACAGCATTTTGCTGAGGAGTAAATTAAGGGCATATAGGAAGATGGGTTTTCTAGCAGCCAGATCTGAATTATCGACTTGTAAAAAAA